CTCAAAAAGGTTGCCTACCCCTGGTGTAAGGAGTGAAAGGAAGAAATGGTTCACACCATTCCCCACCCGAGTTTAGCTTAATTCTGTATTTCCTGGCTTTTTACTTGCATGGAAAGACAGTAAAAAGTGTTCCCAGAGTACAGAAGGACAGATCCCTAAGACAACAAGCAAAGGGTACAGGAAACACAAACCATCCAAACCATGCTGAGGGGTAACATACTCAATGGCAGCAGATCTGGATTTGGAAAGGACTATGCCTCTACCCAGTCATCCTAGAAGGGAGACTCAGGTTTGCCCCATAAATTTTGCTGCCTGGGGTGTCAAATAAACCTGCTGGAATTTGATGGGAGCGTTTAATGGAAGTTGCCAGCAGGCAGGGGGCCGTGCATCCCAAATCCTTTTGCTTTTGCTTAATCCACAGGTACAACTTCCAATCCAGTTTACATAAAGCACTTTCCCAGTTCAAACACACACACACCTCCAGAAATAAATTAGCAGACAGTCAAAAGAATTGGAGTGGAAAGAGAGAACCCCTCCTCTCCTTCCAACTCCCCCCCAGCTCCTTTACAATCCTAGCAAAATGAGATCAAAAGGGAAGTGTATAGAGTGTGTAAATACTGTGGTAATTAAACTGCATAGACAACTGAAAGGAATAGGGAATACACCACTAAGAATGTATATACAGAATCACAATATAAAGATTAGAAGTACCATCTGATACATTTTAACCAACCTGTTGCTCTTACAATCATAAGCAGAATCACTTTCAATACTTTTACTTACTTACTAATTTATATGCTGCTTTTCTCCTAAGGTTGGACCCAGGGCAGCTTCCAGAGACAAATGATTTGGTTGCAGAGATTATCAATAGAGAAGTAGGAGGAGAGTGTTCGTTTAGATTAATTGTTTAGGAATAATATCCTGCAGCCTTCCTTGCACTGTGTAGACAGGGATAGGGAATGAATGGACTGCAAGATGTTCCTAGATTGCAACTCCCAGCATCCTTCACCTCTGCTTATGCTGGCTAGGGCTGATGGAAGTTGCAGTCTGCACTCCTGCTACAGAAATCACATTCACACACACACACTTGTACTTGTCTATTAACTAATTAGCACAGATTAACCACCGCCTGGGAGTTCTATACTCACACTCAATAGATTAGAATCAACATTCAATAGATCAGAATCAGCGTTCAGAAACTGTCCAAAATATTTGGTGTCTCTACTAGAAAGTACATACCGTAACTGCAGAAACAACTGGGACTGGCTGCCTTTTTTCACTATCCCAACATCTGCCGGGGACATTTTACTTTACCATAACAGCGCTCTGAATTAAAATGTCCCTTTTTTCCACAGCACTCTAAATACCATGATTGTAAGATAAGGTATCTGAAGGTTGTTAAAGGTTAATTAATGAGTTCTGATCTGTTGCAACTGATAAAATGGACTGCATACATTAAAGCCTACACTAGACATTTCTTCTTCCCACTTTGCATTAAAGGCATTACTGGATTCCTTTATGATTTTTCATGGTTTTTTTCCCAGTTATCTCTTTGAATATCAATGAATTCTGAATAGCCTTGTATGGAATGAACCCACTTAACAGGTGAGAGCAACTCCTACTCACTACCCTCTATCAAGGAATTACTTTTCCCCGAGTTGAGAAAGGAAAAAAAAAAGAGACCTGCAAACAATCCTGAATAAGCTACATAGTGTAGTGGTTTGAATACTGGACGGGGACTTTGGGAGACCAAGGTTTGAATCTCCACTCAGTCATGTTGACTCTGGGTAAGTCACGCTCTCTCAGCCTCAGATGAAAGCCATGGCAAAACCCTTCTGAACAAATCTTGCCCCCCCCAAAAAAAAAACCATGATAAAGTCACTTTACGGTCAGCATAAGCTCTTGAAGGCACACAACAACAGTAAGCAAAATCACTTCCATGAGAATGAATTACTTTTAATGCTCTTTAGACACACTTCTGTTCTGTTCTGTAATTACATGATCCAACAAACAATGCACTCCTTGTACATCCCACTATTTCTTTCTTGCTGCGTTTTGGCTATAGGTCCTCTAAGTAATGCAATTTGACACTGCTTTAACTGCCATGGCTCCCTCCTACAGAATCCTGGGATTTGTAGTTTGGAGAGGCACCAGCCCACTTTGGCAGAGAAGGCTGAAGACCTTTTCAAACTACAAATCCCGGGATGCCATAGGCTGGAGCTACAGCACTTAAAGTGGTGTCAAAATGCATTATTTTTATACCGTGATGCACCCTAATTTAGGTAGAAAGTGAAGTATGATTTCCCCTCCCTCCCCCATGCCTGGTGCTACCTGCCAACTCCCTCTCATGCACTTGAACACCATCCTTATTGAGCACATTTGAACTCGAGTTCTGTATTAAACACAAAACAAATAGGCATGAGGTCCCCTATTATGAAAAACACTAATACTGTACTACTACTAAGACAGTCAGTGTGGCATTGTGGTTTTAGTACTGGCCTGTGACTCTGGAGATCAGGGTTCAAATCCCCACTCAGCCATGGAAACCCATTGGGTGACCTTGGGCAAGTCACAATCTCTCAGCTTCAGAGGATGGCAATGGCAAACCCCTTCTAAAGAAACTTGCCAAGAAAACCCCATGACAGGTTTGCCTTAAGGTCGCCGCCATAAGTCGGAAATGATTTGAAGCATGCAACACACACAATAAAACTCAACAACTTGTCATCCTGGGCTCCTGTTTGGCCTTCTTTACGGGGGTGGCATTTTGGGACACCCATTTTCTCCATTCTTGTGGGCAGCCCATGTGTCAAAAAAGGCCGCCTGTTGTTGTGCTCCTTCCATTTGTTTTTGAATTATGGTGACACTAAGGCAAACCTATCATGGGGTTTTCTCGTCAAGATTTGTTCAGAGGAAGTTTGCCTTTGCCCTCCTCTGAGGCTGAGAGAGTGTGACTCACCCAAAGTGAACCTCAATGAACCTGGATCTCCCGAGAACCAACACGATGTTAATACTTTGCGCATTGGACTGTGACTCTGGAGAAAACACTAGTACTGTGCTACTACTAAGACATTCAGGGGTAGTTGCGTTGGCCATTTAGCAAATTCAAACAAAAATTCATCAGTGATACCTTTATTGGCCAACCGAAATCCACAATATACCTGTTGCAAGCTTTCGAAGCTCCATAATGAAGAAGCCCATGGAGCTTCAAAAGCTTGCAACAAGTATATTGCGCATTTCGGTCGGCCAATAAAGGTGTCACTTATGGATTACTACTAAGACAGTTAGTGTGGCATCGTGGTTTGAGTGCTGGCCTGTGACTCTGGAGACCATGGTTCAAATCCCCACTCAGCCATGGAAATCCACTGGGTGACCTTGAACAAGTCACACTCTCTCAGCCTCAGAGGATGGCAATGGTGGCAAACCTCCTCTGAAGAATGCGGACAAGAAAACCCCCCGTGACAGGTTCGCCTTAGGGTCGCCACAAGTCGGAAATGTCTTGAAGGCACCCAACAACAACAACAAGGAGGATGGCTCCCACTCTCCTGGTCCAACACTCAGACCATTTATGATATCATGGGGCTTTATTGGCAAGATTTGTTCAGAAGGGATTTGCCATTGCCTTCCCCTGAGGAGGCTGAGAGAGTGTGACTTGCTCAAGGTCTTCAAGTCATTTCTGACTTATGGCCACCCTAAGGCGAACCAATATCAAGGGGCTTTCTTGGCAAGATTTGTTCAAAAGAGGTTTTCCATTGCCTTCCCACGAGGAGGCTGAGAGAGTGTGCCTTGCCCAAGGTGGGTGCAAGTTATGGGTTCGCTGTTATTATTGTGTGCCTTCAAGTCGTTTCGTGGCGAGCCTA